AGGAAGAGCGCTGAGCTCTCAGTGTGAGGAAGCGCGCTGAGCTCTCAGTGTGAGGAAGCGCGCTGAGCTCTCAGTGTGAGGAAGCGCGCTGAGCTCTCAGAGTGAGGAAGCGCGCTGAGCTCTCAGTGTGAGGAAGCCCGCTGAGCTCTCAGTGTGAGGAAGCGCGCTGAGCTCTCAGTGTGAGGAAGAGCGCTGAGCTCTCAGTGTGAGGAAGCGCGCTGAGCTCAGTGTGAGGAAGCGCGCTGAGCTCTCAGTGTGAGGAAGCGCGCTGAGCTCTCAGTGTGAGGAAGCGCGCTGAGCTCTCAGAGTGAGGAAGCGCGCTGAGCTCTCAGTGTGAGGAAGCGCGCTGAGCTCTCAGTGTGAGGAAGCGCGCTGAGCTCTCAGAGTGAGGAAGCGCGCTGAGCTCTCAGAGTGAGGAAGCGCGCTGAGCTCTCAGTGTGAGGAAGCGCGCTGAGCTCTCAGAGTGAGGAAGCGCGCTGAGCTCTCAGTGTGAGGAAGCGCGCTGAGCTCTCAGAGTGAGGAAGCGCGCTGAGCTCTCAGTGTGATGAAGCGCGCTGAGCTCTCAGTGTGAGGAAGCGCGTTGAGCTCTCAGTGTGAGGAAGCGCGCTGAGCTCTCAGTGTGAGGAAGCGCGCTGAGCTCTCAGTGTGAGGAAGCGCGCTGAGCTCTCAGTGTGAGGAAGCGCGCTGAGCTCTCAGAGTGAGGAAGCGCGCTGAGCTCTCAGTGTGAGGAAGCGCGCTGAGCTCTCAGTGTGAGGAAGCGCGCTGAGCTCTCAGAGTGAGGAAGCGCGCTGAGCTCTCAGAGTGAGGAAGCGCGCTGAGCTCTCAGTGTGAGGAAGCGCGCTGAGCTCTCAGAGTGAGGAAGCGCGCTGAGCTCTCAGTGTGAGGAAGCGCGCTGAGCTCTCAGAGTGAGGAAGCGCGCTGAGCTCTCAGTGTGATGAAGCGCGCTGAGCTCTCAGTGTGAGGAAGCGCGTTGAGCTCTCAGTGTGAGGAAGCGCGCTGAGCTCTCAGTGTGAGGAAGCGCGCTGAGCTCTCAGTGTGAGGAAGCGCGCTGAGCTCTCAGTGTGAGGATGCGCGCTGAGCTCTCAGTGCGAGGAAGCGCGCTGAGCTCTCAGAGAGAGGAAGCGCGCTGAGCTCTCAGTGTGAGGAAGCCTGCTGAGCTCTCAGTGTGAGGAAGCGCGCTGAGCTCTCAGTGTGAGGAAGAGCGCTGAGCTCTCAGTGTGAGGAAGCGCGCTGAGCTCTCAGTGTGAGGAAGCGCGCTGAGCTCTCAGTGTGAGGAAGCGCGCTGAGCTCTCAGTGTGAGGAAGCGCGCTGAGCTCTCAGTGTGAGGAAGCGCGCTGAGCTCTCAGAGTGAGGAAGCGCGCTGAGCTCTCAGTGTGAGGAAGCGCGCTGAGCTCTCAGTGTGAGGAAGCGCGCTGAGCTCTCAGAGTGAGGAAGCGCGCTGAGCTCTCAGAGTGAGGAAGCGCGCTGAGCTCTCAGTGTGAGGAAGCGCGCTGAGCTCTCAGAGTGAGGAAGCGCGCTGAGCTCTCAGTGTGAGGAAGCGCGCTGAGATCTCAGAGTGAGGAAGCGCGCTGAGCTCTCAGTGTGATGAAGCGCGCTGAGCTCTCAGTGTGAGGAAGCGCGTTGAGCTCTCAGTGTGAGGAAGCGCGCTGAGCTCTCAGTGTGAGGAAGCGCGCTGAGCTCTCAGTGTGAGGAAGCGCGCTGAGCTCTCAGTGTGAGGAAGCGCGCTGAGCTCTCTGTGTGAGGAAGCGCGCTGAGCTCTCAGTGTGAGGAAGCGCGCTGAGCTCTCAGAGTGAGGAAGCGCGCTGAGCTCTCAGTGTGAGGAAGCGCGCTGAGCTCTCAGTGTGAGGAAGCGCGCTGAGCTCTCAGTGTGAGGAAGCGCGCTGAGCTCTCAGAGTGAGGAAGCGCGCTGAGCTCTCAGAGTGAGGAAGCGCGCTGAGCTCTCAGTGTGAGGAAGCGCGCTGAGCTCTCAGTGTGAGGAAGCGCGCTGAGCTCTCAGTGTGAAGCGCGCTGAGAGCCTGAACTGGACAAACCGACTCACATTGCGAGCTTTCGAGAACGATTCCAACGCTCGCGTCGGCCGCGGCAGCGCCGCCTGTAGCGGCGAGCTTCAAAAGAGAGCGTTGGGCGCGGCTGGGCCGAGCGCCGCGAGACAGCGACAGAAGCCGCTTTGGGGCATCTCGCCGCCGCGGCGGTGGGCGATTAGTAGTAGTACTAGTAGCGCTGGAAAGGGAGCAAGCAGCAGCGCCGACAGTGAGCGTGAGGGCTGCGAGGAGAACCCAGGCTCTGACTCCGAGATTAGAGCGTGCAGCTGCACGCCCGGGAAAACGCATTTTACTAGGCGTGCGGACTCTGAGTCGGAATCGTCGTTCGACAAAGGAGAGTCTGGCAGGTCAAAACTTCTGGCGAACAAAAGTCATCGTGGAGGCATTGGTCTTGGGCTTTTGGTCTGAACTTTGCTGGAAAGTTGCTGCTGGGTTGTAGCGATGGTAGGAGCTCGACGGGGTGGAGCTGACGGTGTGGGCCGTGCGGTGTGGGAGGTGGTGGGGGAGGGGGAAGAGGATTTTGGATAGGGTTGGGGATACAATGCCGAACCAATGCCATGGAGACTCTCCAGATTGGGTTAGGTGAGATTAGCTCGAAGCGCGTGGTTTGTGGATGGGAGCATTTGTGGAAAAGAGCCGGCATCTGGAATCGCGAATACCTAGTAAGCGACCTAGCAAGTAACCTTTTGTGCGGTTAAAAACGGTCAAATCATTTTTTTCTATGTTCATGTATGGTACAGCTCGTTACTGTGCGATGACGGTCCGAACTTTTATGAGGTCGTGAAGCAATGCTGATAATCCTTTACAGAATTTTCTATTACAACTCACAACACCTTTGAGTGCACTTCGAATTGATTACGCGATAGAAAATTTTGAAGACCAAGTAGCTGGCTGCTGCACATTCATCTCGGCCCAAACACCTAGATGCAACACTGTATCAAGTCGAGAGAGCCCAGCGCCACCACTGGCTGTTTCCTCCATCCACCAGCCTCTCCGCCCACCCTCCCCCCTCCTCATCTCGTCCTCCCCCCCATCCCTTTTTCTCCCCATCCCTCTCCCGCCCTCCCCGCTTGCTTCCCCCGCCGCTGCGACGCTCGGACATTGCTGCTGGTCGTTGTGCAGATTCACTTCATGTCACACCAGCACAGAACCGTACAGATATGTTAGTGCAACGGACAACAACTCCATTCCCATTCATCATGGCCCAGTATAAGGCCTCATTAGACAGATAGCCTATTATAGCCTACTATTTCCACATGCACGCGACACTAAGTCGTATGTGAAGTCAGGCATCGACTCGCTTCCCAGCTCTCGCCTCTCGCCTTGCCCAGGCTTGCTCAGGTAGCCACGAGATAGCAGGCCGAGCGACGCCCGAAACAGCCGAGCGAGGCCTCAATCAGCTGGGCGACGCCGCAGTTAGCCAAGCGACGGCAAATTGGCCAGGCGATGGATTCTCGCTCGTCGTCCGTCGTCGCCGAGTCTCCCGACGGCGATTCCGCCTCGCCAATCCATTCGCTATCCGACGACCTTCTCACTCCATCCTCCGCCTAATCCTCGCCGCCAATCCCACCGCATCCGATACAAGCACATCCGATATAAGCACCTGCGATTCTCGCCCGTCCTACCAGGTGGCTCTCGTCTGCAAGCGCTGGTCCCGCGTCGCGCCTCTCGCGCTCACCACCCTGCCAAGAGGCAGGTTGACTCGGGTGCAGGCAAAGACGGCACAGGATCTAAGGAGGAGTGCAGAAGGGCGGTGGTTTACCATAAGAGCAGAAGCAGTGGAAGCAGCGAAGGGGGAGGCTAGTACTGGCAACAGCAGGCGCAACGTGTCGGGAAGCCAAAGCGGCAGTGCTGCTGCTCAGCCCAAGCGCATCTCCCATAGCGTGACTTATCACCCTGCAGGCAACACAATGACTAGCAACAACAGCAGCAGCAGCAGCACCCACAGCTGCACCCCGCTCTCCCCTTCCACATCTCGCCTCTCTCCCCCACTCCCTCTCTAACCCCCTCCACCTGCGTCCCTCATCCCTCTCTCCTTGCCCCCGTCCCTCGCCCCTCGCCCCTTGCTCTCCCTCTCTTTCTCAGCTTCGTTTTCAGCTTCGGCCAAGCCTAGGCCTCTGGTTCGTGCCAACTCTGCCGCCCCTGCCTTGCTGCACCCACAGCCCATTTTCCTGGCCGGTGGGAAGCGATTCAGCACCCGCTGCCCTGCTGCTGCGGCCGCTGCTGCTGCCGCCGCTGCTGCGGTTGCTGCAAACGGCGGTGGTGCTAGTGCTGCTCCTGCTGCTGCTGCAGCGGCTGCCAATAGTGCTGGCGCTGCTGCTGTTGCTGCCAGTAATGGTGGTGCTGCTGCTTCTTCTGCGACTGGGAAAGCAAAGTCAGGGAGAGCTGTAGAGGGGGCGGGAATAGCAGGAGGGAAGGGAGCAGTGGGGATCAAAGGGAGCGCGGTGGTATACCACCCGCCCTTCAGCAGCTACCGACACCAGGCTGACGTGGCAGCCTTGGAGGAGGAGGCGATTCTGAGGGAGCTGGAGCAGCAGCTGGAGAGAGAGAGGAGGAGGAGGGAGGAGGAGGAGAAGGAGGAAATGTTCGCAGAGGCTGGGGAGAGGGGAGTGAGGGAGGTGCGAGTGAGGGAGGGCGAGTGGGAGGAGGGGGGTGCTTGGATGGTGAAGATGCCCGGAAGGAGGGAGTCGAGGAGGCTGGAGGAGCTTTGTGAGAACGCGGTTGGGATGGGTGCTGGTGGGGTGGGGATGGGATTGGATGAGGTGGAGATGTGCTTGGAGTTGGAAAGAGGGGTGGTGAGCATTGGGCCTAGTGTGGGGGGTAGAGGAGGGATGGGACGGAGCTTGAGCATGGGAAGGGGGTTGCTGGGGTTGAGTCCAGATGTTATGAGGGTGATGCAGATGGATGCGAGAGGGAGAGAGAGGTTGGGGTTGATGCAGGGAGCGAGAGAGCATGGTGTCATATCACCAGCACCTGTACCTCCTCCCATGCGACGATCCCGCACAGACACGAGGCAGGAGAGGCGGGCATGAAAGCAGCGGGAGCAGTGGGAGCAGATGGGTGAGTCTGTGAAGCACGATGCAGGAAAGGAAGCACCTGTACCTCCTCCCATGCGACGATCCCGCACAGACACAAGGCAGGAGAGGCGGGCGAGGGAGCAGCGAGAGCAGAAAGAGCAGAGGGAGCAAAGTTAGGAGAGGGAGCTGATTGGTGCATGTGCGAAACCAGATGTTGGAACAGTGCCCACAGCACCTCCCATGCGACGGTCCCGCACTGACACAAGGCAGGAGAGGCGGGCGCGAGAGCAGCAGGAGAAAAGGGAGCAGCGGGAGGAGAGGGAGCAGATGGGTGCATGTGCAAAACAAGAGGCTGGAACAGTGCCCGCACCACCTCCCATGCGACGGTCCCGCACTGACACAAGACAGGAGAGGGCGACGAGGGCACGACAGCAGGCTGTGACGCCAGCAGTGAGGGTTGGGGGCAGAAGAGGCGAGGGGAGCAGCGGGCGGGAGGGGGGCAGCGGAGGGGAAGCAGGCAGCGGACGGGTGTTGCGGCGAGGCAAGAGTCAGCCGAGCAGGCGCTTGGAGCAAGGGGATGGGGTGGGCCGGTGCAGAGAGGGAGACCTGCTCATCCGCACACATGCTCTGTGAGTACTGTGGGTAAAGGGCAGGGGGCAGGGGGCAGTGGGCAGAGGGCAGGGGGCAGGGGGCAGGGGGCAGGGGGCAGGGGGCAGGGGGAAGGGGGAAGGGGGCAGGGGGCAGGGGGCAGGGGGAAGGGGAAAGGGGGCAGGGGGCAGGGGGCAGTGGATAGTGGGCAGGGGGCACGAGGCAGAGGGCTATGGCAGTGGGGAAGGGGGGGAGGGGGTGGTTGTGAGTCCCATGGGTGGTGGGCAGGGGTGGTTGTGAACGTGTCTAATGGCAAGCTGCTCAAGCCTGTGTGGCAGCAGCTGTGTGCTCTGCTGCTGTGGGCTCTGCTGCTGTGTGCTCTGCTGCTGTGTGCTCTGCTGCTGTGTGCTCTGCTGCTGTGTGCTCTGCTGCTGTGTGCTCTGCTGCTGTGTGCTCTGCTGCTGTGTGCTCTGTTGCTGCTGTCTTTCATCTCGTCCCTGCCCTGCTCCCACTCTTCCCCTTCCCTTGTGCTGCTGCTTCGTCTGTTCACAGAGGGCACGACGCAGAGATTCTTGTGCTGGACAACTGACAGTGGGGGGCATGACGACATGGCATGACGCTGACAACAGCGATGGTTTTTGAGACGTCCCAAAAGTTGGTAATTGAAACGTCTCAAAAGACAACTGATAGTGGCGGGCATGATGACATGACATGACGATGACAACTGGTGAGGATGACAAGAGCGATGGTGGCGTGACGACCCTGCCATTGTGGGCTGCTTGTGGGGCAAACCTCTTGCTACACGGCTTGGCATACATTTCATTTCAGACTTATGCGGCTCCCCGCTCCGCTCACTTACGTTTCCTGCAATCTACGCCAGGTTGTTTCTGTCCATCCACCATCGTGAATGGCAGCCTTGTGGGTACTAGCCAATGAGTATGCACGTCGATGTAATGCATGTGCCAATGGCTTTCAGTGTAGTACTGTTTGCCTCCCATGTACAACACGAAGCTCGGCTGACTCTCATCTCATGCCATTCTTGCTTCTGAATCCCAGATTCATGGAAATGTGTCTCCTGCCTCTCAAGTGATACAGTATCAGGCCAGCCATTCATGCTGGTGCATGATGAGTACCCACCAGGTCCTTTTTATTAAAGTAATACCTACCTATACCCCGAATTCTAGTTTCTTCGTGCTAAGCAGGTAACATGCAGCCATTATGGGCAAACTCAACGCCCTATGGATGGCTTCAATTGCAGCCAACTCTTGAGGCCATCACCTATCAAGCCAATGCGCATGAATGAGCTCGCACAAGACTGCGAGCCTTGAGACCTGCCAGACTCCCTCCCACTGTCTTCAAGCGATGTAGAAGAAACATCCCTTGAAGACATGCCCTTGTTGCCTTCACTCTCTTCTTTCGCGACACTCTCCCACTCGTCCTCCCTGTCGGGGCAGTGCTTGGCAATGAAGGCACTGAGGCGGTACGCCACATCCTTCATGGTGGGTCGCCGTGTGCCGGGAGACTTGATGCAGTCCAGAGCCAGGTCTGCAAAGTCCACTATGGCCTCCTCGCTTGCCGCCGGCATCGTGCTGTCCCTCAGCTCATCTACCTCATACGCCTCCACCAGCTTCATAGCTTGGAGGGCAACGTACACGTAACACAAATGGATTATGAACGGTGAGGCAACGCAAAGCAGCAAGGGAGGTGGAAGGCAGCATCACAACAAAGAGAGGCATTGAAAGCAAGCCTGGCAACAAGGGAAGGCAGTGGAAGCCAACATGGCAACAAGGAAAGACACTGAAAACCAGCATGACAACAAGGAAGCAGAGAAATTCAGCATAAAAGGAAGTCCAGGATAAACGTTCAGCCATAAAGTAACGAAGTCAGACGAATTCTACATCTTATCAGCATACCCTTTCTCTTACATGCAAGTTTCCAACTCTTATCCATAACAAAAAAGAGTTTCATATTTGATGTGCATACCCATTTTCTTATATGTGTTTTTGGGTCGACATGGGGTGACTTGCCACTAAGCAGCTGAAGAAGCACAATTCCAAAGCTGCAAGTAATCATCCATTGTGTGCAAAGAAATGGACAGATGTAGAGATAGCAATACAAGGTACACGAACTCAACATAGCCAAGGGGATAAACACAAAGTGCACAAGTTCATCGTGTCATGGAAAGGAACAAGCATGTACAGCGGTAAAGAAAGCAATAACGGGCATAACCTAGAAGATTTACCAAAAAAAAAAAAAAAAAGAGGAACAATCGCATTGTGCAAAGGAACAGGCATGCGGACCTGAACACATCACTCTTGGTTGTGATGACGTTGGTGCGGTTGTAATCCGGATCCACATAGCCCGGAGTGCCGACCACCCGAGTGGCATCAGCATCGCCGTGAGTGAGGCGCTTGAGCAGCCCAAAGTCAGCCACCTTGGCTTGCATGTCTCCAGTCACAAGGATGTTGGCTGGCTTGATGTCGCGGTGAACGATGGGTGTGTCAAACCCATGCAGGTATGCCAGGCCCTCTGCTGCTCCCTGTGCCAGGCGCAACCTCTGGCGCAGCGAAAGCGGACCTGGGCCGTGCAACATGTATGCCAAGCAGAACACATGATTTCATGAGTGGTGGTGTCATGTCCTTTGCAGAAAAAAACAAAAAAAACAAACAACAAATGCCGTTCAACAATTGTGCTAGTGCGACTCACGCTTGGTCCTGTGGATATGGTACTGGAGGTCCCTGTTGGCCATGAACTCGTACACGAGGATCTGCTCCTGCTTGCCCGTCTCCACGTTCTGGTCCAGGCAGAAGCCCAGCAGGCGCACGAGGTGTGTGTGGTGGAGAGAGCCCATGGCTCGCACCTGTAACACGCAGGCAGATACACAATGGCATGAAAAAGTGAGACATGCATTAGCAGACTCAGCATTTGGGAAGCAGAGAGTGCCGTGTATTCTCTTGTGGAGAGAGGCCATGGCTCGACACACATGGAACAAGATCAACTATTGGGGAAGCAGAGAGTGCCGTGTCGTCTTGTGATGTCTTTTCTCGTGCACAGGGAACTAGAGGCATGCCTCACCTCCGTTTCAAAGTCGTTGGTCATGATGGTGGATCGCTTGATGGCCCACAGCTGGCCCTGTGGCGAGCGGCCTTTGTAGACAATGCCAAAGCCTCCCTTGCCCAGCACATTTTCCTCCGACCAGTTGTTGGTGGCACTCAGCATCTGCTGCAGCGTGAACTGCTCACACACGTCCAACCCCTCCCACTTCTCTGCGCACGCACAATACGGGGCGTAGATGAGTGGAGAGAGCATGAGAGCAGTGGACAGGCAGATTTATTGTGCACGGAATTGGGAGAGGTGGGGGGCGGGGATGGAAGCTAGGAAAGAATGGGAGAGGTGAAGGAATGGGGGAGATTGAATGTAACTGAAAGAAGAAGGGACGAGGGGCTCACTTGGTCCGCGGGGCCACAGCAGCCATGCGACCACCGCAGCCCGCAGAGTGAAGCCAGCAAAGCAGCCCAGAACAATGCCCACTATGGCACCCGTCGACAGAGACGACACTGCCAAGGAAGGGACATGGGGCGTGAAAAACGTCTGTGTAGCAGAAGCCTCATGAAACGTGATTATTGGTGCATAAAATAGGAATGAAATGTGGAGCTGTAAGAATAAAGCAAGGGTTACCAGTGTTGGTGGTGGTGGTGGAGTGGACGATGGCACATGTGGACGAGCCGTTGCTCGAGTCGACTGTGGTGTACCCCGCATCGCAGAGGCACGTGAAGTTGGAGGGGGAGGTAGGGGCAGCCGGCACACACGCCCCATGGCCGTCACACGGGCCGTTGTCTGTGATGCTGCAAAACGCCTGGCAGGCTGCCGTCCTGCACTCACCTCAACAGTCGCCGCGTTGCGCAGGGCAACAGACAGCGAGTTCGCCCGCTTCGCCGCTTCGCCATCTCGTCGCCAACCGGCGCCGTCGTCGTCCCGCGAGTCGCAGCGACCGTCAATGCTCGCCGCGCCCTCTGCTGCCATCGTCGACGCATCAACCGGCCGCGTCGCGACGCCCTCTGCTGCCCCACCATCGGGCGCCATCGTCAAGACGTCACCCCGCGGGTCGCAGCGCCCGTCAATGCTCGCCGCGCCATCTGCTGCCCCTCCATCTGGCGTCATTGTGGCCGCATTTATTGGTCGCATGGAAGCATGCGAAGCCGAATCACCCGCGGGGTTCACCGAAACGCGATCTCCGAATTGCGAGATCGAGACTGAAACGCGATTCCGGTTCTCGCCACTCCACGACGAGCCGAACGGATTTATCTCGCGGCGGTCGATATCGCCGCACGTTGCACCCGCACTCTCGTTCCCCCTCGCGTCCCCCATCGCTTCCCCCCTCGCGCCGACCCGCTCATTCGCTGCTTGCGCGCATACAGCATCGTCCGCGCGGGCATCGCGTGACGCTCCGCTCCGCGCGGCCGCCGCCAAATCGCCCTCAAGAGCTCGAGTGATTCCGCGCCGCTGCAGCAGCGACGCAGTGAGAGGATGGGGAATGAAACGCGAGTGGAATAACATCGTCCGAGGATAAACCACATAAGAGTCAAGGGCTCAATTGATAAATTGTCTAGCAGATTGTTATTTATAATCATGAAGACGATTGTGGCCCATTAGCTCAGTTGGTTAGAGCGTCGTGCTAACAACGCGAAGGTCACAGGTTCGAAACTTGTATTGGCCAGCATTTAGCGAGTCTCACACACAAATATGCCCTCGTGGGGTCTCACTGTTACCCAGGCTACCAGGTGCTTCTTCGTTTGTCTTCGTTCGACTGACGAGGTGCGCGGCTAGTTTGCACCCGCGCTCACTGACTCGCACCGAACTGAACCGAAGGGGTGCACCGCTTCTTCAACTCGGTACGAACACGATCTTGGAAGGTCCTCTTCGTTTCAGAAATCCTCCTCCTATGGTTACCCTAGTTACCATCTTGTACTAGAAATTATTACCTGCCGGCTGACTCTCCTTGTCTCACGGCACATAGTACGCTACATAGTACTACTACCACCACGAGTCTGAATCATGCGCAGTACCACGCCGGAAAATCGCTTTCCCAAGCCCGCCGCGTCGCGTTCTGCAAATGACGTCGCACCTTGCATTCTCCTTCTCGCGGCCCTCACGCTCGCTGCCGGCGCCGCCGCGTGCTCCCTTTCCAGCGATACGACTATCAATAGTATTAGCTATCCGCTGTCGCTCCGAGATGCCCCGGCACGTCCGTACGAGCAGCGCGTGCTGTCGCGCGCTCGACCCAGCCGCGCGCGACGATCGCTCTTAAAGCGCGGCGCGACCGCGCTCGGTTTCAGAGCGCCCGACGCGCTCGCTGCAAGGCACGTCGTTCTAGCGGACTCGCAATGTGAGTCGGTCAAACTCGGTCAAACTAGCCAGTCGGTCAAACGCACGCGCTGCAAGGCCCGTGGTTCTAGCGGACTCGCAATATGAGTCGGTCAAACTCGTTCAGCCAGTTGAGGCTTATAGCGAGCTTCCCATACCTATCCCCCATCCCAAGCGAGGTATCCAACCATTCCGAGCCACATGCCCTCCCATTCCGAGCCACATGCCCTCCCATTCCGAGCCACAAGTCCTACCATTCCGAGCCACATGTCCTACCATTCCGAGCCACATGCCCTCCCATTCCAAGCCACATATCCTCCCAACCCGAGCCACATAACCTCCCAACCCGAGCCACATATCCTCCCATCCCGAGCCACACAAATCCTCCCATCCCGGGCCACATATCCTCCCATTCCGAGCTAGAGCTCTCATGGGTAGACAGAGTATCACGAGCGCACAGGCCTGTCCAGGCCTGGAGAAACGGGCCTGTGCGCCCGTCCAGGCCTGGAGAAACGGGCCTGTGCGCCCGTCCAGGCCTGGAGAAACGGGCCTGTGCGCCCGTCCAGGCCTGGAGAAACGGGCCTGTGCGCCCGTCCAGGCCTGGAGAAACGGGCCTGTGCGCCCGTCCAGGCCTGGAGAAACGGGCCTGTGCCGGCAGTGAAGGCGCTGCTGCAGCTGAAGGAGGCGTGGGGCGTTTGGGAAAACAACAGCAACGCCAATACGGCGTGCCCCCCCCCTCACCCTCCTCCCCTCCCGCTTCCCCCCTGTGCCGGCAGTGAAGGTGCTGCTGCAGCTGAAGGAGGCGTGGGGCGTGTGGGAAAGCAACAGCAACGCCACCACGGCGTGCTCTGCATGGGATGGCGTCTCTTGCAGCCCCAACGGGCTCGTCGTCGCCCTGTGAGTCTCGTCGCCCTGTGAGTCTCGTCGCCCTGTGAGTCTCGCTGCCCTGTGAGTCTCGTCGCCCTGTGAGTCTCATTGCCCTGTGAGTCTCAGCCTAGTCTAGGCCACCAGGCAACGTATCGCCCCCCGGTATATCCCCTGTTACCCCTCATTGGCCCTATGCACTCTCCGTGCACTCACTGTGTATCAATGTTCCACCCTTCCATTGCCTGCTCTGCTTGGAATAATAATCGTGTACTGAGATGTGGGCTGGATGGGCTGAATGTTACTATGTGCATGTGGGAGCATGGATTGAGTCGCATTCCGGATCGGGAGGGGGAGGGGTTGAAAGTGGAGGATGTGGGTGGTGGGATGGGGGACAACTGGATACTGGGGAAGGGAACTGGGGTGGGAGGTGGGGGAGGAATGGGAGCTGGTGATGCGTGCGTGCATGCATGCGTGTGTTGGCTGGTGGCAGGGATGCAAAGAAGTTCGTCGAAGTGGATCCTCCGGCCACTGGCTCCATACCTGCTTCCATCACTGCTCTCGCCGCTCTGCAATATCTGTCCGTCCCCACCCACCCACCCTCTCACTCACCCACCCACCCACCCACCCACTCACTCACCCACCCACCCACCCACCCACCCACCCAACTCCTCCCTCCACCACATCCACCTTGCATCCATTTTTGCTTTTGCTGAGCTGAATCCTCCCCCCACTGGCTCCATACCTGCCTCCATCCATCACTGCTCTCGAATCCCGGCAATACCTGTCCGTCCCACCCACCCATCCTCTCCTTTCACCATACCTTTCTCTCGAATGAATCTTCCAGCCACTGGCTCCATACCCGCCTCCATCACCACTCTCGCCTCCCTGCAATATCTGTCCGTCACCTCCTACCCACCCACCCTCTCCCTCCACCATGCCTTTCCTTCGCTTGCCATCTACTTTTGCTCCGTTCTTCCCCCCACTGGCTCATACCCGCCTCCATCATCACTCTCGCCTCCCTGCAATGAGATGATAGGTCTCAAGGCTCTTTCTTGATTTCCCATTGCCTTCTCCACTGTTGTTCCTGCGCCCTCCCATCGCATCCCATCCCATCCCATCCCATCCCATCCCATCCCCTCCCATCCCATCCCATCCCATCCCATCCCATCCCATCCCATCCCATCCCATCCCATCCCATCCCATCCCCTCCCCTCCCATCCCATCCCATCCCATCCCATCCCATCCCATCCCATCCCATCCCATCCCATCCCATCCCATCCCATCCCATCCATTCCCGTCCCGTCCCCTCCCATCCCATCCCGCCCCGTCCCGTCCCATCCCCTCCCCTCCCCTCCCGTCCCATCCCCTCCCATCCCATCCCATCCCATCCCATCCCATCCCATCCCATCCCATCCCATCCCATCCCATCCCATCCCATCCCATCCCATCCCGTCCCGTCCCGTCCCGTCCCATCCGCTCCCCTCCCCTCCCATCCCATCCCATCCCATCCCATCCCCTCCCATCCCATCCCATCCCATCCCATCCCATCCCATCCCATCCCATCCCATCCCATCCCCTCCCATCCCATCCCATCCCATCCCATCCCATCCCATCCCATCCCATCCCATCCCATCCCATCCCATCCCATCCCACAGCGATCTGACCTTCACGAGTCTGGAGGGGCCCATTCCATCCCTCGCCACCCTCACCGGCCTCACCCACCTGTTAGTGCCGCTCCCATCCACCGCTCGCTCCCCTTTACTCCTCTGCACCCCTGATCCTGTTCTCACCCACCTGTTAGTGCCGCCCTTCCATGGATGATGGCTCCTAACCAAAGCAGCTTCCTCACTATGCCCATCCACCGCCCTTCTTCACTCCTCTGGACCCCGCCATCCTGTTCTCACCCACCTGTTAGTGCCGCCCGTCCATGGCTCCATGGCTTTGAACCAGGGCGGTTCACTGTTGGACTAGACCCAACCCAACCACTACGCCCATCCGTTGTCCCCTTTCATTTCGCTGCGCCCCCTTTTCCTTCTAATGCCCATGTTGGGCGGTTCATTTCGCTGCACCCCCTTTCCCTTCGATTTCCTGCTCAATCCTTGTTCTCAGCCATGTCTCATCATGACTGGAGTCATTTAGTGGTTTTTGAGGCGCCTCAAAAACCACTTCAATGCACCCCCTTTCCCTTCGGTTCCCATTTTCCGTTGAATGTGCCACGTGCACCTGCGTGCGTTCCATTGCTGCATGCATGCCACGTGTTTCATTGCTGCATGCATGCCACGTGTTTCATTGCTGCATGCATGCCACGTGTTTCATTGCTGCATGCATGCCACGTGTTCCATTGCTGCATGCATGCCACGTGTGGCTGCATCTTGTCAGAGCGATTGGACTGGATGGCAGCAGGCTCACCGGCACTCTGGACGGACTGGCCTGGCTCTCCTCCCTCACCAACCTGCGAACACTGTACGCCCCCAAAAAATATTGTATGTTCTGTGAACACTGTACGCCCCCAAAAAACACTGTATGTTCTGCGAACACTGTACGCCCCCAAAAAACATTGTATGTTCTGCGAACACTGTACGCCCCCAAAAAACACTGTATGTTCTGCGAACACTGTACACCCCCAAAAAACACTGTATGTTCTGCGAACACTGTACGCCCCCAAAAAACACTCTATGTTCTGTGAACACTGTACGCCCCCAAAAAACACTGTATGTTCTGCGAACACTGTATGCCCTGCGAGCACTGTACGCCCTGCAAACACTGTATGCCCTGCAAGACCGTACGCCCTGCAAGCACTGTACGCCCTGCAAACACTGTTAATCCTGCAAGCTGGCAATGTCATTGTCACTCTGCATTCCACTTTGCCAGCCACGCTGGCAATGCAAGAAATGTTAATTCTGTTAAAGGCACGATGGCATTTCTTGTCAGCCCTGCAAGCTAGCAATGTCATGTCACTCTGCATTCCACTTTGCCAGCCAGCCACACTGCATGCGACTTCGCTCCAGCATCTTTTCCACGGCTTCTCCCACTCCCATGCCTCACTTCCCTCCCATGCCTCACTTCCCTCCCATGCCTCACTTCCCTCCCATGCCTCACTTCCCTCCCATGCCTCACTTCCCTCCCATGCCTCACTTCCCTCCCATGCCTCACTTCCCTCCATGCCTCACTTCCCTCCCATGCCTCACTTCCCTCCCATGCCTCACTTCCCTCCCAGGCCCACTTCCCTCCCTGCCTCACTTCCCTCCCATGCCTCACTTCCCTCCCATGCCTCACTTCCTCCATGCCTCACTTTCCCTCCCATCTCACTTCCCTCCCATGCCTCA